CGAAGGGAACTTATATTCATTTCACATCACTTGGATCACGACTTATACTGGTACATATTTGCATTTTTTTAAGTACACATACATATTAGATTTAACATTCAGCTTTTACTTAATACAACTTTTGAAATACATGCACATATGACATAACTATTTTAGATATTACCGATATTGAATCTATTTATATTTTGCTATAATATATCTAACTTGATAGTAAGAGTCACTACAACAAATATCACATCGACATTAGTCCAGCACTCAAATAAGTATCTTGTTTTGAGAGTTATTGAATGTTAATAATAGATTTTTCAACATATACAATAAGTTTTTTTGGTTTAAAACATAAATAAAGAATTAMAATTCGATTTTGAATAGTGAGATAAAAAAAATGAAAGAAAAGAAAAGTATCAATTCAAACCTAGTTGTTCAAGATAAGATACACATCTTAATATTACTAAGTTGGATAGTTCCTTGATCAAGAAGAGAAACAAAATGAAACGATAAAGGGTAGTTTCTTTTACTTTAGACATTTGAAAGAAGAAGATACGGGGAAGGGTAGTTTGGACATTTCGCAAGTAAGTCGAGTAGTCAAAAAGGGGAGAAAATATTTCCGATGATCGATTGATTTTGATTCGATGGAAAAAATATCGTGGTCTTAGTCGCGAAGGATGCGGTCGTGTAAGAGGATAAATTTTTTTTTTTTTTTTCCAAAAGCTCGACGTGCCAGAAAAAGCCAGTTTTTTTCTTTTTAATAAACTCCACAATATGTAATGTAAATTATTTGCCAATGTATATATCTTTGATATTAAGAATTATGCATTGAGTTAAAAGAAAATAATTTGATTTTTTAGAGCCCACAACATCACTGAAACAATCTTCATAATCACGATCTAGAGATCTAAGTGATAACTAAGGTCAGTTTGATAAGTATTTTGTTTTTGGTCTTTCTGTTGTCTGTTTTTCCCAAAATAAAATGTTTGATAAATATTTTTTGGTTTCAAAAAACAGAAAACAAAACAGGGTTGGTAACCATTTTTAGTTTTATGTTTTTAAAAAGTTAGAAAATTGGAAGTATATATTAGAGAGAAAATCTATCTAGAATAGAGATGACAATGTTGCGGTGTGGGGCGGGAGTGAAGATGCACTCTCCCATTTTCGTGCTCGTGAAAATCTATAATCCACCATCTCCACCTCGTTCTTCGGTTCGGAAATCGAGAACCAGGTTAAATAATCTTTATTGGATATTCACGAAAAAAGTTACCGATTCTGTAATTATTTTTAGAATTTTTAAAAAATGTGTAATAAATATATATTAATTATTTTTAGAATATTATTTAACATTATAAATAATTAGTTTTAAAAAATATTTAATATTTTATTCACAATTTACTAAATATGTTAATAAAATATATATTAATTATTAAGAAATGGAATCGGGAACGGGTTTGGGACATGAATTTCCTATTTTTGGAGCAAAGACCTAACCTTACAGAAATTTTTGTGTTCCCTAATGTAGAAACACAAAATACAAGTTTAGACGGATGGAAATAAGTTTTTTAAAGAGAAAATTTGGAGAGATAAAGAAAAAGATTTAGAAAAGGGAAATTAGTGAAAGAAAATTTAAATACAAAAAGATACAAATTTTAGAGAAAAAAGTAAAGTCAAGAGGAAAAGATAGATTAAAGAAAAAAAAAAGAAATTAGAAGGAAAAAGAAAAATTATAGTGAGAAAAAATTTAAAGAAAAAAACAAGATTCAAAATATAAATAAATAAAAAGATAAATAAAAGTTATAGTGAAAGATAATTGAACGAGAAAATGAGATATAATTTTGAGATATAATTTTTAGAGGAAAACTAGATTAAAAAGAGAAAAAAAAAAGTTTTAAAAAATGAAATTGTAGAGAGAAAAAAGTTCGAGAAAATATTAAATTTTTAGAGAGATAAATTAGAGTGCTCTGTTAGAAAAAAAATAAAAAAACATGAAGATGAAAATTTGAGAGAGAAAAATAATAATAAATATTTAAAATATGAAAATTTTAGAGAGAGGAAAATAAATTTTGTAGAAAAAAATTTAGAGTGAGAAAGAAATTTGTTGGATATAAATGTGAGAATGAAAAAAAAAAGTTAGTATGAAAAGAAAAATTAGATTTTGAATAACAGAAATAAGTTTTTGAAAACTACATTATTTTTTTTTAATTTACATAGAATTTCAAAATTATTTTTGAAAAACCAGAAACAAAAAATTGAATCCATTGTTATAACCTCCTGTATTTTAAAAACTAAAAAACAAAAAACAGTAAAAAAATGGTTATCGGTCCTAAATATGTCCTTTTTTTCTCCTTTGTTGGACTTCTAGTCCTCTACATCTCCATCTTTACTCTCATTTTCATAGTTCTCCTGATGTATAAGGGTGGATGAAGATGAAGCTGTACTTTTTACTTATTATTGTCTTTGTTTTTAAGAGTGTTGTGGAGCTCATTTGTGCCTTTATTTGCATTTTTATGTACTTCTATCACCTTCTAGATTGATAATTGATGTGTTAATTAAGTTAAATTCATAAAGATATAGAACGTGTCCTTTGGTTGATAGGTTATGTTAACCTCAGCTTTGACTTGGTACATCAAATTGTTTTAGATATTATCTACTTTGGCTCTTCCGAGTCTTAGTCGAGCCACTAGTAAAAAGTCAGTCTTCAATGACAATTAAATTCTGTCATTAACGTAATTTATGACAATTATCTAATTGTCATCTATTAAGGTCAAGAAAGAGGAGAATATGACAAATTTGAAAAATTATCATTAATGCATTTACAACTGCAGTTATACTTTGTCATGAATAGATTTTCTTAGTGTCACTAAAACAATCAAATATTTTTGCCATCCTGTCAATAAATATCTAAAGGCGACATTTTATAAATTGTCGTGAACTAGTGTTCAACAACGGTTAAAGATTGACATAAACTTTGTTTTAACGATTATTTATAATTGTCATGAAAACTTTTGTAGTGATAGTTTTAATAGTCAATATTGCCAGTTTTAACTATCACGAAATATTGCATAATGACAATTTAAAAATGTCATGCAACATTAAATAATGACATTCGATATATGTCACGAAAAGATTTACAACGACAATTTAAAACTATCATAATATACTTAATAATGTCAACATTTAATTGTCAAGAAACGGTTTTGAATGTTTTTTTTTTTGTCACGAAACCTATTTTGTTGACATTTATAAATGTAATTAAAAACCGCTTTCCATAGTTGTACCTGTACCTGTCAATTGTGACATATTTTACATACAAAAACATATATATCCATTAGTACACCAACCCACCTACAAATTTAAAGTGTATACATATAGTAAATTATATATACATCAACGAAGGTTTTTCACGTCCATCAACCCTGTACATAAACAAACTATACCAAGTAACTACTAACCCAACAAAAAATGGCCCAACAATCAAAAACAGGAGAAAGGAAGATGAAAAAGGTGAAGAACATACAGGACTACAACTTTCCTATACGAGCATTCAACTCCTAACCAAAAACATGGATTAATATCTTCTTTGTGATCATTCCAGTTAGATAAAGCGCCAAATGGATCATTCACAACTCTCTCTCTCTGAACTTGAGAAGAGTCAAACCTACAAAATAGAACAGAGCAATTCAAAAACCCCTTCAAATATCACCTCTGATTTCATCAGAACAGAAGATTAAAAACCTTAAACTAAAGCCTCCGAAGAATTCACGAAGATCAATTACCTTCTTCATCCAGCGACCAACACAAATGAAAACTCTGAAACAGCAAACTCACTACCACCAACCCATAAACCCGCAATCGATTCCTAAACCGATGGATATTCCGATTCTCAACCTCACCCATTTCAAAACCAAAATCAAAACAAACGGGGGACTGAGTCCAAGGGAAAAGAGGGGTGCCCGGGCTTGGTAAAAATTATGAAAATGAAACGTCTGTGCCACGTTTGAAAGCTTGGTTTTCGAAAGATTGATGAGAAATGGATCATGTGGAGGAGTCGGAGGAAGAACAATCAAAACAAACGCTGCCTTGTGATGAAATGATGGATTTTATTGGACTGGGTCAAGCTCAAGCTCATGGTCAAGCCGCTTCTTCGTTAGACTTTGACATAAATTTTTGTTTCATGAAGATTCACAAATGTTGCTTGAAATTTTATAAACCCTACCTTAAAAACTTGTGAGCCTAGTGATGA